GACGACGACACACACACGCGCGACACACACACACACACACACACACACACACACGACGCGCGCACACACACACACACACACACACACACACACACACACACACACACAGACTCGCAAGCGACAGAAGGCAGCATATTCGTACCACTTGAATTCGTGCAGGTCAATGTCGAGTGATGTCTCGTAGTAGCTGTCAAGCGAGACGGTGGTCTTTGGCGTTGGTGACCGTACGCGTGAGTACGGATCAGAGGCGTTTGAATGTGCAGCACTGTCGGCGCGCAATCGCGAGTAGCCGTCGTCCACGGCGTCGTCGGCTTCACTGTGGTCAGAGTTGACGCCTTGCTGCTGCTGCTGCTGCTGTGTGCTTGGCGGTGCGGTTGGGAGTTGCTGGCGCGCTGATGCTGATGATGGATTGGGCGCTTGGGAGAACCGCGCCTGCTCATAAGCCGGAACGCCTTCTTGCTGTTGCTGCTGGGGCGACGAGGCTTGGCGAAGCGCACGCGCGATGGGACTAGTGCTTGTGTTGTGGGCGTTACTGTCTGCCGCGGCTTCAAGGTCGTCTGGGTCCAGAAGGAAGCTGTGTGCGCGCTGCACTTGCGGTGATGCAGCTTGTGCTGCCTTGGCCTCTGACGCCAGAAATGCCTGCGAGGACCGCTTCCTTGACTTTCGTCTCTGCTTGGGGTGAGTGAGTGAGTGTGCGAGTGAGAGAGAGTGTGTGAGTGTGCGAATGAGTGAGTGAGTGAGTGTGCGAGTGAGTGAGTGGGTGAGTGTGTTCGTGCGTGAGTGTGTGAAAGAGTGTGTGCGAGTGTGTGAGTGTGTGTGCGTGCGTGTGTGTGAGAGAGAGTGTGTGTGTGGACGATGCAAGCTTGGCTGTGCAGTTCACCTTTGTGTTGCGCGGAATCGTCAAGGACACCTGCAAGTCCTCTTCAATGCCTTTGCAGGCATCCAAGACAACCTGCCATTGCTGTTGCCGTGTGGGAAGCATGTCAAAGTTGACGACAGGGGCAACTGGAAAGGCAGCGGCGCAACAGCAGCGCAGCGGTGACAGCGGAAGTTGCACGGGTAAGAGTGAGTTTGAGAATGTGAATAGGCACGAGCTGCAGAGAGACGAAACAGCGAGACTGCGCGCGCGTGCGAGAGAGAGACAGACACACAGACACAGAGGCAAAAGAGAGAGACAGAGAGTGTGTGGGCAGTTGCACACAGACACACGCATACAGACACACGCATACAGACACAAGCACAGATACACATACATTGTGAACGTTGCTTCTCGAGGCGTGCAGGTTCCCCGCTGAATTGAAGCAGCGTGTCCACGAGCTGCCGAGCTGCAGGATCAACCTGCCAAACAAGCCAAACGAAGCAACCATACAGCCACACGCATCAGTCCATTGCATGCCGCGCGACACGCCGCGATCAACACGAAGCAATAGTGTCGTGTCAATGCATCTCACCTCCAGCCAGCATGTCACACACAAACACACACACACACACGGAGCACATCGCGACAGCGCCTGCCCTTCACCATCTCACCTGGCTGCCCAACGTGTCCAGACGCTCGCGTGTGTCACTGTTAGTGAGATCAACAACACAAACGCCAAGTCGGGGTGAGAGCGCGTGAGGAGAGCGTGAGGGAGTGAGAGATCAAGCCGGCACCCATCACCGTCAGCGAAGCAACACACCCAACACACCCAAAACAACGACGCACGTCATCTTGAGAGTTTCTTTGCGACACCACAAAATGTGAAACTGCCACGTTTGTTGCTGTTGCTTGCGTTTGTCAGTGGCAGGCAGCCAGCCAGCAGTTATCGCACACACCACACTCACCCTTGTTTCCTTGCTGAGTCTCACATCTGTCACACACTCGGTCACACATCAACACATCCATCTCTCACCAATCAAGACCGACGATGCCAAAGCGTGGAGAAGCCGTTGTCAAAGCCGTCCTTTCTGGGGACACTGTTGTGCTGCGTGGGCACGCCGCCTCGGGCCCACCGCCAACGTTCACCCTCTCCTTGGCCCAGCTCGAGTGCCCGCGTCTTGCCAAGCGTCCACCCCAGGGCCAGGACCAGGGCCAGCAGGATGAGGTGCGCTTACAACGCAACCCTACACACAGTTGCTCAAGGATGCATGCGCGCACATGTGCGATCTCTCCTCTATCCCGCACCCCCCCCCCTCTTTTTTTTGCTTTGCGATCAATGCCCTCTGTTGTTCGTAGCCGCCTGATTTTGCTGACTAGCCCCCACCTCCATCCTCTCTCACATACACAAAAACAATTCGCCACAGCCTTACGCCTGGGAAGCTCGCGAGCTTGTGCGCAAGAAGGTCATTGGCAAGCGCGTGTCCTTCTTCGTCGAGTACACGGTGGGTTGGGCTGTGCTCGCTTGTCGTGGTGTTGTGTCGGCATGGCGTGGAGGCAAGTCTTTGACAGCGACCGCGTGCTAATTGTTGTGAACGAGCCCTCACCTTCCTCTTGTTATACAAACGCGTTTCGCTTGCTCTGTGTGTGTGTGTGTGTGTGTGTGTGTGTGTGTGTGTGTGTGTGTGTGTGTGTGTGTGTGTGTGTGTGTGCGTCAGGTTCCTTCTGGCCGCGAATTCGGCCACATCATCTTGAACCGCGACACGGCCAACGAGGAGTACATTGCTGTCAGCCTCCTAGATGCCGGCCTCGCCCGCATTCGCGAGGGTTCCCGCGGCACTGGCGAGTGAGTTTCTACTGTGTTATGTGTGTGTGTGTGTTTTTTGTGTGTGTGTGCGTGAGCTGTTAGAACTGTGCGCAATTTGTGGCGCACAGGGTTTGAGCATAAGCTGGCTCCTCCTCTCACGTTCCTGCTCGCTGCCTTGGTGTTGGCATACGTGTACCGTGTGCCTGCAGCGTCTTTGAGAAGATGCAGGCAGCCCAGACCAAGGCCGAGAGCAGTCACATTGGCATTTGGGACGAGAAGTCCAAGCCAAAGGTGCGCGCGTTTGAATACAACTGTGTGTGTGTGTGCTTTGAGGTAGAACGGCGTGGCTACATTGCAACACACTGTGCTGTTGTGCCCATGGCTTGTTCCACGGCTTGACTCAACGTGTATGTGTGTGTGCGTGCATGTGTGTTGGCAGCATGTGCGCAAGATCACCTGGAACGTGGAGAACATGCGCGCCCTTGTGGACAAGAACAAGGGCAAGCCCGTCAAGGGTCAGTCGGCATTTTCCTGTGCAGTGGACGGGGTGGAGG